CCTGGGTGGGTTTGGGTGAATGACCAGATGTCTTCGAGCTCACAGTTAATAGTCAACGTGCTGTGTTTATAGTACCATCCATAGAGAGGAACCTGAGGGCAGGCGGAACAAAGCTGGGGACCTGTCTGATTCCCCTTCTGTTACCCGGAAAGCAAGTCAGTCTCTCTGGGCCCAAGTTTTCTTGTCTGCAAACAAAGGTTTTCAAGAGAGGACCTTTAGAGTTGCCCACCAGGATTGAAATTCTCTGTGTGCAAACTTCCCCAAGGGCGGCTGAAAGGAAAGGGAGGTCTTTGAATAGACCTAGGGTAGGTAGAAAATTTATGATTCCTTAAACAGATCCTCCCTGGTTTTGCTTTTCAGGTAATTTATTGCGCCTTCTTTTTAATCTGGAAAGAGAGTCAGTATCCTTCCCCCTCTCAGCCTTGCAGCGATGGTTGAGAAAATGTATAGACAAACACAATCGCGAAATGGATGCTTGTCAACAGATGCACAGTAATTGTGTATGTGTATGTACATATATATATACACACAAATATATATATACAGATATATATGCACCAGTTTTATTACTTAATCATTCTCTATTTTTATTCTCTGAAATCCATCTGAAGGTATCTGGCCTTTATTGCATCTTTCAGGAGCCCCAGTGTTGGAAACTTATTTTTGTTTGAAGACCGAGAAGGCATGTTTTCAGAGCCTTTAGAAGAGGAAGGGAAGAAGTTTGTTCTTTTGGTTATTTTTTGTACCACAAATGTGGGGAAAAAATGTTGCCTGTGACCACAAACACACAACGTGGCTTCTTGGTCAACATCCCTCCTCTTTAAGAGTTTGTTTAACACTGTAGTGCTTTAAAATTACAGGTGCAACCTTCATCTCAAAAGAGCTTTTGGTATGTTTCGGACAGGTGACATTCTGGACTGAGTAAAGTGCCTGGCAAGGGTAAGGGATTCCATGTTAAGTTTCAGTGCTGCCTGTTGGAATCTTATCATGTGGTTGTTGAAAGCTGGGGCTTCAGGTCAGACCAACCTGGGCTTTACCTCTTACCAGCTTTGTGTTGGCTTAGTTACTTAGCCACATGAAGGCTCGGTTTCCTTGCCTACAAAATATTGTAGGGATTAATTGTGACAGCATTTGCAAGTAAATTAGTATAGTATCTGGAACATAGTGTTTATGATTATTATAGGATAAAATGTAATCTGGAGAGATTGGATTATTTCTTCCCTCATAACAACCCATTATGTACAACTTTCTAACTCTCTTAGGCTCCACTGTTTGTTTTCTGAGAGTGGGCTTAGACCTGGTAACAGTGAGCTGTCTCTATTCCATTTCTTTCTGTTAAGTCTTGAGTTTAAGCTGGCTGAGGAGGGGGAGGGGAGAAAGTGAAAAGGTCCTTTTAAACAAGATGTTCTTGTTTAAAAAGGTGTTGATATCCAGATGCCAAACTGCCTAAGCATAAACCAGAACCTTCTACTTTCCTGACCACCTCTATCCAGCACTTGAGGTGGAAATGGAATAGTAGCAAGTGCAGTTTTTTTTGTAGCTTATGATAGGATATTTTGTCCTGTGAATGCTTGCTAGGTAGCTTAACATCCTTGAGCAGTTTACTCATCTTGTAATTCCCAATAGTATCCAGGGTGAGTGTTCAATAAGTGGTGTTTGTTGACCACACAGATAGGACAGCGGCACCAAGAAACCATGTGGTTTTGAGCTGCTTTTCCAAGAATGGAAATAGATTTGCTTTGAGCCATTCCTGTGACCAGGGACAAACTTTGTCAGGGCCAGCAACATAGTACGTGACAGCTGCGTCTTTCAGGAGGGCGCAAGAGGCCTTGTCCTCCTCGGCCCACCCTACACTTACTGAAGCCAACCAAAGTAGGGCTCACAGGAGTCCAAGGACTGATCTGGGAATCTTAAAAGGGTATGAGGGAAGAAAGAGTCCTGTTACTAACTGGTTCACCCCCAGAAACCCAGACTGTACTTTTGGAGAAGTTAAAAGTAGAACAGCCTGTTTCATCTGGTTTGGCTTTGCTGTGTCTGCTGCCCTTTGTTCTCCTTCCGCTTCTTCCCCAAATGGCCACCCACCCCATTCCCCACCCCCTCGGTAAAAAGGGCATTAGAATGCTTGAGCCTATGTACTCTCCTATCTCTTGGTACACTCAGTATCAGAGCCGACAGGGGGTTCTATTACATGTGCTTCAAATTCAGGTTTTTGTTTCTTAGTTCGAGTCCGTATGTCCAAGGGGTGGGTGGAGCAATTTTTTTATTTTTTATTTTTTTGTTAATCCTTACCCGAGGATATTTTTCCATTGATTTTTAGATAGTGTAAGAGAGGAGGAAAGACAGAAAGAGAGAAACATCAATGTGAGAGAGTCACATTGATTAGCTGCCTTGGGGATCACCTGGGGCCTCAGAGGTACATACCCTTGTCTGGAATCGAACCCGAGACCCTTCAGTCCTTGGGTCGAGGCTCTATCCACTGAGCCCAACCAGCGAGGGCCAGGTAAAGATTTTGTTCCATATCAAAGGATGGCCGAGGACTAAAAGCATTTCTTCAATGTTGCTCTATTGCCTGAAATAAAGGCCTTGTCTAGGGTGAGTTTACCTGGGAGTTCACCTTTCAATTTCTATCTCTTTTGAAGGACTCATTCTCACTCTGCAGGTAGGAAGCCCTTAATCTGGTGGTTTGAGGTGCTTTCCCAGGGCTTGCATGGCTGCCTTGCACTCCTGAGGGACAAGATTTGGGGTAGGGCTCAATCAGACCCAAACCATCAGCCATCACATGTAGTTTGAGAAATGGAGGTTTCCCCACATCTGAATGATTTCAATCGGCATTCGACAAAACCCTTTAATCAGGCTAAAGGCACACAGCTGAGACCCCGGCTTCAGAAACTCCCTGGAAACCCAACCCCAAATTGTCAACTATTTTTGTTTTTAAATAAATCAATACCAATTCTTTTCAAAAGAATAGACCATTGTATAATCTTAAAACAAAAATCCAAAAGAAGGAAAGGAACAGTCTTGGGAGTTAATGTCATTACTCTTAAACCAGATTTAGGGAAGGAGCTGCAGGTGGCCAAGCTTTCCAATTTCATTACACAATTAAAGGAGGGAAGACCAGGTTTTACCGTAATTCAGTACCTAACACTGAACACAGAGAAATTGTTCTTTATATCCTTCCTGATTGTTTGATATTCTTTTTTGTTTTGTTAATTTTTTAACCCGGGATATTTTTCCCCCCCAATTGGTTTTTAGAGAGAGTGGAAGGGAGGGAGAGAGAGACACATCAATTGGTTGCCTCCCACACGTGCCCCAACAGGACCAGGTCAGATGGAGCCTGCAACCAAGGTAATGCACTTGACCGGACTCAAACCCTCGACATTTCAGTCCTTGGGCTGACACTCTCACCACTGAGCAACACCAGCTAGGTCGATTGTTTGATATTCTTAAGCTCAGGTTAGAAAATGAGAAGTTCAAACCTCAGCTGTGTTTCTTTAGCCTGATTTTTGTTGAAGGCTCCTTGAAGTCATTCGAATACAGTGAAGACTTGGTTTCTCAAACTCCATGTTATGGCTGAAGGTTTGAGTCTCTCTGAGCCCTACCCCAAATCTTGTTTCCAGCAGGAAACTGCAGAGTTGGGAAGCATTAAGTTCATCTTAGCTAACAACATGGGAAAATAAGTACTGTTGAGAAAATTAAAGCCCTGCAATTCTGGAATTAGATGTTCATATCATTCTGTCTTAAAGGTGAGGAAACGGAGGCCTCAATAAGTCAGTAGCTTGCTGATGTCATCTTAGGGCAGTATTTCACAGCCGGTGTGCTTCCAGTGTGTAACTCCCTTGAGAGCCTTACTCTCTTCCACTTTCTGCAGCAGTGGCTCTCAACCTTCTGGCCCTTTAAATACAGTTCCTCATGTTGTGACCCAACCATAAAATTATTTTCGTTGTTACTTCATAACTGTAATGTTGCTACTGTTATGAATCGCCATGTAAATATCTGATATGCAGGATGGTCTTAGGCGACCCCTGTGAAAGGGTCGCTCGACCGCCAAAGGGGTCGCGACCCACAGGTTGAGAACCGCTGTTCTGCAGTGGACAATGCCTTCCTGGACTCCCACCTCTAAAACACTGAAATCTCTACCCAAGTGCAGGGACTAATCCAAGTGCTACACTACTACTGTGGGTTTAAGTGCCTTCCATATAGTGGGCATTCAATATATTCCTTGTGAACAACTGGATTACCAGAAACAAAAATGTTTTACCATTCCATTTAAAGGGATCTTTGGAGATCATATTTCATATTCAATAATTGGCCCCCAGTTTCACTGTTTTGTGAATCTGGGATATTCACCGATAAAATGGGTTCCTTATTCTCAATGTATGGATGGATCTATCTTTGTTCTCTAGAATGATGGGAGCATTGTTGAAGTTTATGAAAAAGTTGAGATTTAGCATTTCGGTCAAAACATTACTAGGATCAGAGTGTGCCTTTTTTTAGTTGGTACTTTTCCCAAAGATATCCTCAACTGGGTCCAAGGTCCTTCTCCCCCATCCCCATCCCTTTAATTGATTTGAATCCCTGTGTATTTCACATGCACATGCCAAATTTTCATGGGAAACAAATAGCCCTGGGGTATGTTTTCTGGATGCTTGGACAATACTTAGACGGGTTCTGTATTTGTCCTGATCTCCTTTACCTTCCCTCTCCGGACCCCTGCTTTTTAAACCTTTTCTTGAGAGACTTGTTTACCAAGTTGGAGAGCTAGAGGCTTAACTGAGGTGGTGTGAACCTAGTGCCCTCTGGTGGAATTTTGTGAGAATTACATGTCTCCCTGCAAATTGAAGCGTGGGAAGTTGTTTTCTTGACTGGCTTTCAAGGGGAGGGCCTCTCTGTTGCATCTCTAATATAGTAAATTAATAATAGGTAAGTTTATTACCTATACTGGATATTGAAGAGGTATTATCCTGTGGGTATCAATTGATTACCAGAGGCTTGTTTATGATTATAAAATTAAGCCAGATGTCTAGAAATGGGCAGCAAGCAGCACTGTGGTGTTTCGCCTTCTCCATCAATGCGTACCGGAAATGAAGAGAAAGAAGGTCCCCTCTAAAAAAGGTCATTGAGAAAAGTCTAGGAACCAGTAGTTAAGGGGAAATGGCAAGGATCAGGAAACTTGGTCACAAACGAATCTTATCCTCAGCCCTCACATAGATCTGAGCCCAAAAATTTAAGACCCATCTAGAAGTTGAGAGTCAGCTAGATTCATTCTCTCTCTCTCTCTCCCCATCTCTCTCTCTCTCTCACCCTAGGGGGCAAGACTGGGGGGGGGGATGAACAGAAAGTGTGACAAGAGACACATCTTTTAGGGGAGTCTAGAGTATTTGCACTGCTGCTTGCTCTTTTTTCTCTCTCTTAACAATTTCATTTGGAGGATCACTCCCTTCACCATTGCCATTAGCAAAATCACAGTGACCCAGAGGACATAGGCATTGGCTTTGAGTCAGACACACCTACACTTGAATTCCTGTCTTGCTAGCTGTAAGACTTGGGCAAGTCAACCTGTTGAGTCTCAGCGTTTTTGGAGGTTCCGTGTAGAAATGCTTGTGGGAATTATAAAACAACTAGAGGCCCGGTGCACAAAATTCGTGCGGGGGGAGGGGTTTCCCTCAGCCCGGCCTGCACCCTCTCCAATCTGGGACCCCTTGGGGGATGTCCGAGTGCTGGTTTAGGCCTGATCCCACTGGCTCCTAACCACTCGCCTGCCTTCCTGATCGCTCCCAACTGCCCTCCCCTGCCGGCCTGATCACTCCCAGCTGCCCTCCCCTGCTAGCCTAATCACCCCCAACTGCCCTTCCCTGCCAGCCTGATCTCGCCCCTAACTGCTTGCCCTCCTCATGGCCTCATTACCCCTAACTGCTTGCTCCCCTGCTGGCCTGATCACCCATAACTGCCCTCCCCCGCTGGCCTGATCACCCCTAACTGCCTATGCCTTGGCCCCCGCCACTGTGGCTTTGGAAGGAACTTAGACATCCGGAAGATGTCCGGTTGACCCAGTCTAATTAGCATATTACCCTTTTATTAGTATAGATTAGCACAGTAAACAGTGCAGAAACAGAATAGTGGATTTTGTTATCCCAAGAATGAGGAAGAGAGTGGGCACATGACTAAGGAGATGACTTAGGCTTTAGGCTTCCAGAGTTTCACAGACCTTCCGACCTGTCTGGCAACACTTTTAGAAGAAACGTGTAGGCAGAGATTTTGAAAGCAAACAAGCCTTTATTAAGCATCACCTATGCTACATAGTTGGCTCATACATAGGAAAGTATGTAACTTGATATGGCCTACACTCTAGATGGTGAGGAAAGGCCTCCCCAAGGGGAAGGATTTCAGAAACAGAGCAAGCAAAGTGTATCAGCTGTATGAGCCAGTGAACAAGGTGGGTCTAGTAAATGTGTCTAAGAGTCCCAGAACAAAGGAGTCATAGTGGAGAAGGCCTCTTTGGGGGTGCTCCATGGTGTGAGGTTGAAGGTGGGTCTTATGCTGGGTACCAGATAACATGATAAAAATGTGATTGTGGGACGGCTTTCTGTGAAATAGAAAGGACTGACCTTTTGCCAACACTCATGGATAGGATCTAGTAAATTACATGTGCTAAGGTGGTAATGGTGAACTAGGTAAGCTTTGTCTGGAATAGGACTAATAAAATATGAAGTTAGGAAAACACTGAACATTTGGATTCTGTAAAAATTTCAGTTGTACAAATTTGAAATGTTACTATATTAAAGCATTAGTATAGTTTCACTTTATTAATTTGAAATTAACCCAATCCTTAAAGGACTTTCTTTGGGAGGAGACAAAAGTTCTGTTGATGCTAGCTCCACGTGGTAGAGCCATTTTGGTGAGCAAACAGAAATACCCACTATTCTTTATCAGGATGAGACATGAATGATTCCAGTTTTGAATTGTAAGAAATCATTATTCCCTCAGGTAAAAGGCAATCACTTGTACCCAGAGAAGTAGCTGGTAGATGGAATGACTGCTGGACTCCCCTCTCTTCCCTTCAAAGGCTTCCCTTCTATTGCATTTTTAATCCCCATGGCTTTTCCTGCACATTTATCTATTCTCTTGGTCCTCTTTCCCCCACCTCACCAATCTATTCAGCATCCCTTTCTCAGCCCCCTCTCATTTCCTCAGCAATTACAAGTTCAGGAGATGTACCAGCAGACGGAGACCAAATGCTCGCCATGGCCATTACCTTCATTGGAGACCAAAGAGGATACAATGCACATGTCTGAGAGAACCTACAAGGAGGAAGAAGGGATGGACAATGTGCCAGGTATCCTGGGCCCTATCTCAGGGTGAGCTCTCTGGGAGGAGAAGAGCCTGGTCGTCTTTCTCTGACTGCTCCACTTCTGGCAGCAAGTGGTAGACGGGTCCTTCAGTGTTGGCATAATATGGAGCTTTTTTGGATCCTGTCAGCTTCGACCTGGGACTGTAACAATGATGCCAAAAGGAAAAAACGCCATAGATTCCTAACAGGCACAAAGCATTGATCATCACATGCCAGCAGAAGAAGGTAGTGACAAACATGATGTCACTGATGTCATCATCCTGCCATGGGTAGCCGGTGACTGGTCTGTACAGAATAAAGCCTGCCTGCATCAGCCAGGAGCCCATCATCAGAAACAGGAAGGTCTCAATCATTGAGAGGTGAAATGCATTGGGAGTCCACAGCTCAACAGTGAACACCAGCATCAGCAGGAACACCACCAAGATGAGTAGAGAGTGAACCTGCAGTTCCACCCCTGTCGAATCTTGAACATGTGACACCAACAGCATCAGGAGCACGTAGAAGATCAGGACCAGGGCACCTTTTTCTAGGAGCACACACCTCTGAGGCAGCAAGTTCTTGCTCGTGACATCTACACAGCCATTGAGGGTGAGGAGGATGAACATGGTGAGGTGCTGCCACTGTTTGGGGAGCATAAATCTCGGTGGCATTTCCCTGTTCATCAGGACCAACCCTCCTTTAATGCAACTGTTCTCATAAGCTATCAAGATGGAGCCGGTCACTATTTTCAACAAACCTCGGTAGGATATTTCCCACAGCTTGGCCCATCTTCCCTTATTTCTTGGAGGACATGAAGGATTCGGGCGAGAGTCATTGAATATCACAGCTTTGGAGACCACTATTGCCTGATACAGTCCGTATGAAAATAGAAACAGCCCCGGGTACACATGACCGATAAAGGTTCCCATTGAACTACAGATCTTCTTAACGAAAGAGAGAAGAACAAAACTTGGGCACGTCCACACCTTCTGGGGCCACTCCAAGGTCTGGACTTTGGAAAGAATGGCCTTCCACCAACTTTTATCATCTCACCCCTCCCACTGCCCCCCTACAGAGAGGAAATGTTTCTTGAATCAAGCCTACACCTTTGGTGGTGTAAAGCATCATTGTTCCATTCCATTCTGGTACATTGGGAACTGGCTTCTGCCAAAGAAGAAAGTTGATGAATGTGTATTTAGGGGCTCCCCTCTATGGCCTTGGGGTGCTTCAGGTCACACTTGTCCCTTTCTCCCCTGGATTCTTTCCCCTTGTGCTGCCCAGCACTTAGAGCAGAAGAAGAGAGGACCATGGGATGGGGTAGGGGTTGCCGTGATATCCAGAGGAAGCCGGGGTACTCACAAACCCTTGAATATCATTCAGTACCCCTCAGACATAACTTGGGTCCAATTGTAAAGTTTTCTTTCTAGATGCGTATATGTATAAACATTTGGATATATAACCACTTAATACATACTTACCATCTACCTGGCTTTTCTATTCTTTTATAGACACATTCTGGAAAATGACCAAGAAAGCTCCCTTCACCTCCTCCCCTTACCTCTTCACATCTTTGTCCCACCCCTACCCTCACTTCATCATCTCCACTGGACCTAAAAAGCTTCCTTTTGATATGATTTTGGAGATAGTGGTGGTTTTGTGGTGTATAAACCTAAGCTTGAGTCATGTTTCCCAGAATTCCCTTTCCTATATGGTTCCAGGTTGAGCTGGCGACAAGAGAAATTTACCTGAGAATCTGAAGGTGGGAGCGAGGCAGCAACCTAAGCACACTTTGAAGGTGTAGGTGCTAGGTACCACTGTAGCTCATGCATTTGGTTACTGATCTCCTGGCTCACCTCCTTGGCATGACCAACAGCCAGGTCTGTAGCTCCCTTACCTTCTCTTAGTGTGAAAGGCACCAATTTCTTCTGCAGGTCACCTGCCACTGAAGTATGAGGTGGTGAGAGGCAGACATAGGCTCCATTTTGTCCTCATGGGTTTTGGTTTGTCCCTGCTCTTCCCTGGCTTCACGTCATATACTCCTTCTGGCTGCTGCCACACTAACCTGAAATGACCTCAGGCCCATCATACAGCAGAGAGGCAGCAGTTCCAAAGACTTCTTCACCACAAATGTATAAGGTGTAATAACTATAAGACATAGATATTTCATATCATTCTGCTCCCATGATGCATCCCTACCGACATAAGGAATTTAGGGTATAATTCTTAAAATGCAGATACTGTTGAGAAGAATGACTCCAATGAGCTGGTGTTGGCCCTTTGTATTTTAATATGAATTAGCCCATCAGCTTCATTTATCCATAACTAGTGTCTGATGTACCTTGGAAGACAGTGTCCTCGGTATTGGGTAACAGCCAGACGAGTATAAGGCAGGGATGGTGGAGAATAAAGTACAGAGAATGTGAGGCATGCACTGGGCCCACAAATGGTTCTGGGTGTATTACAGGAAGTACAGGGAATAGGAATTTCTCTGGGAGTTCTGAGGGGAAAGGAAGTTTATCACTCAACACGAGCCGTGCTAACATCACAGTCTCCTGCAAAATCATCTGCCCTCACAGTACAAGCAATGCTGTGAGCAGAGAGTTGGCATCTGCATGCTGACAGCGCCCCTGGTGGAGAGGAGGAGAATTCACACCCCGGTCACACAGCACTGCCTCTGAGCAAATACCTACTCTTCCTCAAGTCCACTTTATTCCAGAACAATTAAATTTCTCTCTGCCCTCGAGGATAGCAATAATTTAGATTGCTTCTTGCTATTCGGAGATTTGGTGGGGCTGGGTATTTGAGTGTGAAGGCAAGTAGGAAAAACAAAGCTTAATTCTTCTTTCTGAAGGAATTTGCTTTATTTCAAATTTTAATTTTAGGTGTTTTTATTCATTATATAGTCACTGTGGGGGGGAAAAACCCAGATAAAACATCTAAGCAAAAAGAATATTAAAAATTTATCTGTAACCCCACAGTCTGAAGGTGACCATTGTCACCACTAAGGTATAGAAACACAGTTTATGAAGGCAGCCTGAGAAAGTGGGAAAAATGCATTAACTGGAAGCCAGAAATCTGGGTTCTAAATCCAGTTCTCCCTTGATTTACTGAATTTCACACTTCTTAACTGAAAAAAAAATAAAAATTGAGTGTTGAACTTTCTATTAAAGTGAAAATAAAAGGGCATGGATACTGTTATACAGACATGAGCTTATTTATCTCCTGACTGGTTTTTCCCATTTGGTGAATTTTCACCAAATACTTGGAGCACACTGTAAAGCTCAGTGCTTGATTCGAAGTGACAGGTTTTATGAGTCAGGAAGGAGAGGACCCCAGGGATTCTCTTTGGTTCTTAGATTTGCTCTGGGAGAAGCATAGGGTCTATTGCTCCTCCAGGGATCAGCAGTGCTAGACTGGAGATCATGTGACCTGTAGGTCCCAAGAGGGGCTGCATTTGGTCACTCTTAATTGCCTCCAGTACTTTGAGGCTGTGGGTCCCAGTGAGGTGGGGGCAGCAGAGCTCACTCCAGCTCCCACACTCGTCTCCCCAGTTGTTCCTGACAGCCATGAACTCATTGCCAGTGGCCAGAGGAGGAGAGAGAACAGCAGCACTGACCCAGTAGGGATGACCCAGCAGTTGCAAGTGGCATGGATCAGGACAAGTAGCCCATCCTGGATGCTCAGGCCCCCACCTTGGCCACACACCAAACAACGCTGCATGTTCTTTGAAACATGAACACTCTGATCTCTCGGCTTTGAAGATAAGAATCTCCCACCCCAAACCGGACACTGCCCACAGGTAGCGGAGAAGAAAGCCAAAGGGAGTGAATGATTAGCAGAGCTGGCAGACAGTCCTGAGCCTGTGGGCATTGAGTGCCTGGGAAGCTGTTTCCTAAGGAAAACTCACCTTGACCATGGAGCCCGTGGAGGTCTTTCATGGCCTGGCTGCTCCATGGTGAGGCTCCCCTCAGACCTGCCTCCCCCACCTCATTCTCGAGGGTCCCCAGGCACAGCCACTGCCACTTGTTTGATATGCTAGAATGAGTAGGAAGGTCCTCAGGAATTTAGTAAATGTGAACTTACTAAAATCTGAATTCTGAATGCCGCAGGGCATATAAAAAGTATATTATAGTTCTTATCCTCAAAGAGCTTATATTTAGTTGAAGGCACACAGTTCCATACACACACACACATATACACTGAAGACATGAGAAAACTAGACTACCTCTCCTATAGAAATCAGTGTCACATGTAATTTAAAAATTTCTCACAGCAACATTAAAAAAAGCATATAAAAGTAGAATTAATTTTAATGAGATATTTAACCCAACATGTCTAAAATGTTATTTCAACATGTTATTATAAAGACTATAAATGAAGTATTTTATGTTCCTTATTTCATACTAAGCCTTTAAACTCCGGCATATATTTTATACTTACAGCACATCTCAATTCAGACAAACTAAATTACAAGTGCTCCATAGTTGTGTATAGTTAGGGCTGCCATATTGGATTGTGTCGATTTAGGAGAGAATGACATGTTGAGTGATTTTCAGTTTTAGTGAAAAGAACAGTTCAGAGAGGATGTAGAAGTTTGGTCAGAAATGGCATCTAGGGAGCCACAGTATAAGCTTTTCAATGGCTGGGGGATTTTAGTATGGTGCTATCTACAAGCATCTTTTAATTTACTTCCTTTCTGTTTAGGAAGGCCTTTCTCGTCGTCGTCATCATCATCATCATCATCAGAAAATGATTGCAGCTCACCTTTGCTGCAAGGCAGAAATACATCAGAGGAAGAGAGAAAGCCAGAGGCTGGGGGCTCCAGCAGAACCAGGCACAAGGTCAGAGACGGCACGTGTGTTCATGCTGGCATTTGACTTTATGAGGGTGGCAGAAATACCCTTCTGTTGTGTTAAGCCAATAGGAGTTAAGGGTTTGCCTGGTTTTAAATCAGGTAATTAATATACGCTGTCTACCAAGCCTCCAAGAGGCTCACTGAAAGCTCAGTAAATTCCTTAATTTTGATGTGACAAACATCCAAAGGGTTATGTTTATTATTCCCACCCAACTTCCTCCTCTCCCTTCAGTATCTCACAATCTAGAATTCTCATGTACTCTGTCCAAGCCACTGTTTTGGGGCCCAAGAAACTAAATTCCACCTTATGATTATAGACACAGAGCGTAAGAACTCGATGGGCCTGAAGCTCCTCATTCTCATTAGGATCTCAGCTTCATTTTGGATACAATCTTCCAGTGACATCAATGATGAGAGAGAATCATTGATCACCTACCTCCTGCATGCCTTTCTCCCCCCCCCCCCGCCCCCACCTTGCTGGGGATTGAGCTGGCTACCTGGGAATGTGCCCTGACCAAGAATCGAACTGTGACCTCCTGGTCCAGAGGTCAACCACTGAGCCACACAAGCCGGGCAGAGCCATACATCTTTAATGAACTGTGGTGTTTCTCATCCCCAACCTGTGCCCAAAACCTTCACCCAAAACGAATACGACCTGAATTAGTTTTCTATTGCTGCATAATAATTAACTTAAATATAGGAGCTCAAGCAACACAAATATATTATCTCATGGTTTCCATGGCCAGGAATCCAGTATGGGTTGGCTGAGTCCTCTGCTCAGATCTCACCAAGGTGATGGCTGGGGCTGGGATTCCCATCAGAGGCTCAAGATCCTGTTGCAAGCTCACTGGATGTTGGCAAAATGCAGCTCCTTGCAGTTCTAGGACCCAGGCTTCCGTTTTCTTGCTGCCTGTGAGTCAAGGACTGCTCTCAGCAACTAGAGTTTGCTCGCATTTCCTTGCCATGTTGCCCCAATAGGAAGTTCATGACACGGCTGTTTGCTTTCCTTCAGGCCAACAAGGTTGCATCTCCCTGATGGCTCACGTTCTTGTAAAGACCTCACCTGACTAGGTCAGACCCACCCAGGGCAATCTCCCTTTTCACTAACTTAAATGCAACTTATTATAATATGAGGAAAGAGCTTGGATTCAGAAATCGTCTTGTTTTTCAACTAGTTTACTATATATTTGTATTTCTGAGGTTCAGTGTCTTCAGCAAAGTGGGCATAAATTATTATTATTAAATAAAAATAAGCTGCCTCAAAAATATTACGAGGGTTAATAGTAACATATAAAGAACCTGGCACACAGTAAGTGCTCAATAGGTCATATCTATTAAATAAAGATATATTAAAGTAACAACAACCAACAACAAAATAAATTCAACTGATTATAAACGAACCATGGGAATGATATTCCATTACATTCACTGGTCCCATTCACACTCAAGAGGAAGGGATTATACAGAGCGTGTACACCAGGGGCAGGAGTCCTGGGGACCATCTTAGAATTCTGCTGACCACACCATCTAATCTTCCTTTTCATTCATTACTATAAGTTGTGCTATAATTGTGTATGTCTGTTTGTGTCTTTCTCATTATTGTATTGCTAATCCCTACACAGTACCTGGAAAAAAGTAGCTGTTTATGATTTTTTTAATGAATGAATTGATTCTTTGGTCATCTTCATTGAATTTGGAAGATCCCCTTAATTTATTATCTACCTGTTTACAAATTAGTCTCCTTCACTCTATGTTCACTTTAGTGAAATTCAGTTAAAAAGTTTTTCTCTTATCATTGTTCCAAATATCTGGGGGTGAATTCTGTTTAAAGCTCTGGTCTCTGCAATTACTCTGTTAGTGTCTATTGGGACTCAGAGAGGGTCCCAATAGGAAATAGATGGCAACCCAAATTGGAATAGTTCAAGGAGGGCTTAAAAGGGTACTTCTTACACAGATGTGAGCTGAGTGAAAGGTGACTGCAAGGGATAGTGGAGTAACCGATGGAGCTGTAACTGCCTTTAGGCCCCAAGGGACATGGGACAGAAGTTCCTGGTATGGGCAAGCACAGTGTGGTGGCGTGCGTGGTGGCCTCTAAAAAGATATTTCCAAGTCTTAACCCTGGAACCTATGAAAGTGACTTTATTTGGCACAAGGGTCTTTGCAGATACAATTAAGTTAAGGATTTCGAGATGAGATCATTTTGGCTTTAAGGTAGGTTCTAAATCCAGTGACATGTGGCTTTCTAAGAGAAAGACAGAGGGAGATTCGAGACACAGAGAAGAAGACAATGTGAAGGTGGAGGCAGAGATTCTTCTTTTTCTGAGCCATGGACACATATTTTCTGTCCATTTTTATATTAGGTTGCATTTTGTTTGTCAGTGTTAGAATATCTCTATATATTCTGGATACTGATTTTGTCTGTTACATGTGTTAAAAATATTCTTCCCAGTGTCCCTTTTATTTTCTTTAATATATTTTTACTGATTTCAGAGAATAAGGGAGAGAGAGATAGAAACATCAATGATGCGAGAGAACCACTGATCGGCTGCCTCCTGCATGCCCCCCACCGGGGACCGAGTCCACCACCCGGGCATGTGCCCTTGACTGAAATGGAACCCGGGACTCTTCAGTCTGCAGGCCAATGCTCTATCCATTGAACCAAACTGACTAGGGCTGTCTCTTTTCTTTTTTTCTTTTTCTTGTGTCTTTTAATTATGGGAAAGCTCATTAAAATGGGTAATCTTTTTAGAATTTGTCTTGCTCAAGAAAGTTTCATATATTTTATTATAAAATATCTTCCTGTATTTCCTTTAAAATAATTTGATAGTCTTATTGCTGATGTTTAACTTTTCAATCCACCTATAATTCTTTCCTTGTGTGTTGTCTGAGGTAGAAACTAAGGGTTTTTCTCCTAAAATGGAGAGTCAGTTATTCCTCACATTAATCGAGGAGCCCTTTCTTAGCATGTATTTAATTCTCACACTATATTTCTGTGTCCGGAGCGTCTATTACATTATACTATGTTGATGGACGGTCCAGTGGTACTTGCTTGCTCCTATACCACAGCTTTAATTATAGAATATTTATAATGTATTATGAAAGTTGGTAAAGCAATTTAATCCTCACATGTAGAGGCCAATGTTATATTCCTCTGGAACATGCTGAGCAAATGAGGTGCCTAGGATATGACAGATCTCTGCTCTTTAAGGAGACTGTCTTGAGTGGGTAAGGCAAAACTTCCCTGTGAAAGACAATGTGAGAAACAGGACAAAGAATGTATCATCAGCATGGAAAAAACAAGGCAGGTTTAGATGAGGTGCTGAAGAGTCCCAGATCAAAAGAGTATGTGAGAATTTTCTGGAGAAATAATTCTTGGTGGCAGTAGTGTTAAGTTTTAATGCTAGGTATAAAGTAACACTGTATAGTTAATATGTGACTGGCGATGGCTTTTTCCAAATTGCACAGAGTGTCCTTTGGCAAAGGCACAAGTGTAGGATAGAGCAAAGTAGGATCTAGTAAATTCCTGGTAGGGCTGATGGTAGTTAAACAAGTAGCTACGTCTTGCTTTGGCTGGATTAGAAATCAAGAATAAGAAATGTGCTAGCATTTAATGGAAATTTGGCTTATGGGAATTTGAAAAACTGTGATATGAAAGTACTGATTCTTTATGTGGAAAATTTGAAACAATCCTGATCTATCCAAATTTTAAAATGTATGTATGATATTCTTATTACTGTAACCAGGTGAGAGAAGTGAATTATACCATAAATGTTTCACTTTCGTTGGCAAACAGAAACACCTATGATTGCAATTTTGATTTGTGAGAAAGTAGTCTTTATTCCACAAGTAAAAACCTGGAGAAACAGCTGGTGCCGGCATGACTGCTGGACTCCACTCTCTTCCATTCAGAGGCCGATCTTGGATTGCATTCTTTAACTCTCATAGCTTTTCTCCCATATTTATCTATTCCTATGGTCCTCTTCCCCCAACACATCAATCCCATCAGCATCCCTTTCTCAGCCCCCTCTCTCCTCACCTCCTCAGTGATTTGAGGTTCAAGGACAGGAGATGTACCAGCAGATGGAGACCAAATGCTCTCCATGGCCATTACCTTCATTGGAGACCAAAGAGGATACCATGCACATGTCTGAGAGAACCTACAAGGAGGAAGAAGGGATGGACAATGTGCCAGGTATCCTGGGCCCTATCTCAGGGTGAGCTCTCTGGGAGGAGAAGAGCCTGGTCATCTTTCTCTGACTGCTTCACTTCTGTCAGATGGGTCCTTGGTCCTTCAGTGTTGGCATAATATGGAAGCTTCTTTGGATCCTGTCAGCTTCGACCTGGGACTGTAACAATGATGCCAAAAGGAAGAGATGCCATATGTTCCCAGTAGACACAAAGCATTGATCATCACATGCCAGCAGAAGAAGGTAGTGACAAACATGATGTCACTGATGTCATCATCCTGCCATGGGTAGCCGGTGACTGGTCGGTACAGAATAAAGCCTGCCTGCATCAGCCAGGAGCCCATCATCAGAAACAGAAAGGCCTCAGTCATTGAGAGGTGAAATGTGTTGGGAGCCCACAGCTCAACAGTCAACACCAGCATCAGCAGGAACACCACCAAGATGAGTAGAGAGTGAACCTGCAGTTCCACCCCTGTCGAATCTTGAACATGTGACACCAACAGTATCAGGAGCACGTAGAAGATCAGGACCAGGGCACCTTTTTCTAGGAGCACACACCTCTGAGGCAGCAAGTTCTTGCTCGTGACATCTACACAGCCATTGAGGGTGAGGAGGATGAACATGGTGAGGTGCTGCCACTCTTTGGGGTACATAAATCTTGGTGGCATTTCCCTGTTCATCAGCACCATCCCATCATCAAGGCAGAAGATCACATAAATCGTAAAGATAGAGCCGGTCACTATTTTCAGCAAACCTTGGTAGGATATTTCCCACAGCCTGGCCCATATTCCCTTATTTCTGGGAGGACATGAAGGATACAGAAGAGAGTCATTGACTATGGTGGTCTTAAAGACCACTGCTGCCTGATACAGTCCATAAGAGAAAAGATATAGCCCTGGGTATACATGACCATTGAACTTTCCCATGAAATTACAGATCTTTCTGATTCAGGAATGAAGAGCGGAACTCAGAGCCTCTCTGCTCTCCTCTCTTTTGAGGACCCCCTCAAGTTTTGGGCTGTATATAAACAGCTAACTTCTACCTACTTTTATTATCTCTCTCTGCCCACTCTTCCCAGACAGAATGGAAAGTTCTGGACAGAAGCCTACACTTTTGGTGAGGTGGATCTCATTGTTCCATTCCATTCTAGTACACTGGGAACTAACTGACTTCTGCCAAAGAAGGGAGATGACTATTTCCTGGTATGCACCTGTGAGAATGTGTGTTCTCATGAGCTCTGAGTTTGGGCCTTTGAGATGTTTTTGGTCGCAGCTGTCCCTCTCTCCCATGGCCTGATTATCCAGATGAAGTCTGGGTTACTCACAAATATTTACACATCTGTTAAGACTGTATCTAAGGCAAGAGGTTTTCATTTAGAGGGGATGGTAGAGAACAAGGTGCTTGCTCTGAGCACACAAATGGTTCTGGATCTGTTGCAGGAGGTACATGGAATTGGAGTTTCTCTGGGCCTGATCATTGTGCTAAGGGGAGAAGAAATTCATTACTCAACATGAACCATGGTGACATCGCACAGTCTTCATAATCATCTGTCCTCACGGTGAAAAGCAGTACCATGGGTCAGAGAGGCAGCACCCATATGCTGATGGTGCCCCCAGTGGGGAGGAGGAGGTTTACCCCTAGGTCACAGAGCAGCCTGAGCCCTCAGTCTTATCCAGTGATCTCCCTCTTCTACACCCATTTACGTCAGAAAAACCAATCGATTCATACCCTTGAGGGTGAAGGGCATTTCTTATCAGTGGGACAATGGGGATTTGAGTGTGAAAATGCTGTAAGGGAGATAGAGTTTAAGATAGCTTTACTTGCCTTCCTTATTCCATTTTAACTTCAACTGTCTTTTCCTTACACAGGTGTGGCATAGATTGACTACACATTCACTGTATTCATTTCCTTTTCTTCTTTTGTATGCTGATAAACTACATTTCCCACTATGCCTACAGTTCGATGCAGCCTTGCAACTGAGTTCTAGCCAATGGAGTGTGAATGGAAGTGATATACATATATTACTTTCTGGCCTCCCCCATAAAAGTGTCCCTCATGTATTCTTTCCTTTCCTCTTGCTTTATACAGAACATTACAGCTTATTTGAAAGTCACACTTGAGGATAGAGGAGCTCCAAGGTGGAAGGAACAGGTTTCCTGAATTGCTTCTTCTAGGAGGCCTATGCACTCTTTAGGAACACTCATTTTGGACTATATATGGTCAAGTAATAAACATTTTTGGTTAAGCAATGGAAATTTTTACACTTGTTTATTATAGCATCCAGTTTACCCAAGCTATTGCAAAAGTAATATATAGCCTTTTGCAGAAAAATTTGGGAAAATCCCTAAGCAAAAAAAATAGAGAAAAACAAGCACTTGCAATTCCAAACCCGACGATAATTGCTGTTAACATTCTGTTGTAGAACCTCAGCTTTAGGAAGGCATGTTTTGAAATGGAAAAAATAATGACTGGCAATTGAGAGACCAGGATTCCAGTCCAAATTTCCCCCTAATTAGCAGAGCTTCGATTTCTCTATTAGAGAAAAGAAAGAGCTTTAGCACCTGTGTTCTCTAAAGAGAGGGGGGAGTGGAGAAGAAGAAAGAAGAGAACGAGAAAGGGGAAGAGTAGGAGGAAGAGAGGAAAATGTGGGGGTTATTGCATAGAAAGGAGTGACTCTGGTACCCCCAATTTTCCCTTTTTAGCTAGTGGTCAAAACGCCCAGAAAAGGTCAAAGAGCTGAATGCTTAGGGAGAGGAGGTACAAAGGGAAGTGTGAGTACAACCCTGTGATGGAGTGGGCCATGGAGAAAGCTCTGGGACTCTTTGGTTCTTGCCTTTGTTCTGGGAAATTGCTGAGCTGCTCTGAGGGGAGGTAGCCTCTGGACAGCAAAGTCCATTGCTCCACAAAGAGCCCAGGCATGTTTTGAGTAGCCCGGTTCTACCTAGAATGCACTGAAGGTGTCAAGTGGCTGTAGCCCTCGCCGGTTTGGCTCAGTGGATAGAGCATTGGCCTGCAGACTGAAGGGTCCTAGGTTTGATTCCAATCAAGGGCACATGCCCGGGTTGCAGGCTTGATCCCCAGTAGCGGGTGTGTAGGAGGCAGCCGATCAATGATTCTCTCTCATCATCGATGTTTCTAGCTCTCTCTCTCCCTCTCTGAAATCAATATTATATATATATTTTTTTTTTGAAAGAAGTGGCTGTTTTCAGTCACTAGTTATGTTACTTCCAGATGTCATAGCTGTGGGTCTAAGGGACATAGTGGACATTGAGGGAAGTGCATTCACTTCCTGACCACCCCATTTGTCTCCACCTTTTGACTATTCCTGGCATCTGTGAGCCAGTGGCCAGAGGAGGAGAGAGAACAGCAGTGCTGATCCAACAGTGATGCGAAGTTGAAATTGGCACAGATGAGGACAAGTAGCCCCACTTAAGGTCCCATCCAGGATGCTCAGGCCCCCACCTTGGCCACACACCAAACACTACATGTTGCTCATTGAAACATGAACATCCTGACCTCAATTTTGAAGGTAGGAATCACCCACCCAAACCAGACACTGCCCACAAGTAGCCAAGAAGAAAGCCAAAGGGGGTGAATGATTAGCAGAGCTGGCAGACAGTCCTGAGTCTGTGGGCTCCGAGTGCCCGGGAAGCTGTTTCCTAAGGAAAACTCAGCTTGACCACAGGAGCCCCTGGAGGTTCTTCATGGCCTGGCTGCTCCACAGTGAGGCTCCCGCAGACCCCCCCCCACACACACACCTGCCTCCCCACATTCTTGAGGGTCCCCAGGCACAGCCACTGCCCATTGTCTGGAATCAAATGTTAGAATGAGCAAGAAGGTCTTCAGGAATTTAGTAAACATGAATTTACTAAATACTGTGAGATATCTTGTCCCCACAAAGCTTACAATATAGTTAAAAGCATAGTATATACATGCAGACACACACATGAAATATAGAAATGTATGGTAATTGGAGAATTATTTCGAATTAGAGAATGTCATGCTGAGCGACGTGTAGATTGTATTTTAGAAGCTTTCAATGACAGGAGTTGTTTCTGGGGGAGATTCAGTGTTAGTGAGAAACATCCCCAGATATGTCCTAGACTGCCAGTAACTCAAGGTTTTTCAAAAGCTTTTATACCAACTGTAAAGGAATCTTTCATTTCTTATTGTTGCAGGACAGACAGACATGGCTAAGAATCCAGTGCTGTGTTGTATGGATTGTAGAGAGACAGGACTAATTAAATGCTTTCCCCCCACCGCCACCCCCACCCCCAGTCTCTAATGCTAAGACAGGGGCACTTGTGGGAGGAGTGGGACCCTGAGATTTGGGATGGGGGAAACAGGTGAGGCTGAGAACTCTGAACTCCCCAGTTCCATAGAACCTCCCTTTCTGACAGAAGAAACCCCTCTTCCCAGCTGAGAGAAAAGTCTTCCTCTGTAGAAATACCTTTCAATAACTGCACCTGGGAGAGTTCTGTCACCAGGGGACACCAGTCTTTGTAGGACTCACTCCCACCACCCCTATTACCTCCACATCCATAACAAGAGTAGATCCCAATAATAGCCTTGACAAGGATGTGCAAGACCTGAGGTGGGAGAGGAAGTCCATGCACCAAAAGAATGATAAGACCTCACCAGTCAGTATTGGCAAGAGTGTGGGGAGCATGGATGTGAATGAATTAGAAAGTGTTTGACCATTAGCATGAAATGGAGAAGTTGATTGAGCCCCATTTATCATTATGAGTTTACCTTCCTGAGATTCTAGGGTCAGTATGTGGCTTGAACATCTCTAAGCCCCATTTCCCTCATAAGTAATATGGGGTCAATAATAGTATCACCTCAGAGGGTTACTATGAGGATTAAAGAGATAGCCCCGGTAAAAACAGCATAATCCTCAGTATACAGGGAGAACTCAGGAAATGATAGCCGATATTGTTAACAATTATCTTAGTCCGCACCCAGAACTCTAGACAAGACTGTTTTCACATAAATTGTTGTTTCCGGGAGAGCCGTGGAACTCCTTGAAGACACATGATATCTCTAAGGGGCATACTTCTGTTGATATTCTTAGCAACCCCAAAGCTGACAGCAGATGTCATTTGCGAACAGAGGCCAGGGCCTTAAAGGGGTGCTCCAGGTACTGGCCTTGTGCTGGCAACCTCTGCCCTGTTTTTATGTTTCGTCTGCAGTTGCTGCATTAAGAAGACCTGGCCTTAATGAAATACTCAGTCCTGAATCTTTTCATGTTTCAAATTAACTTTAATGAGCAAACAGGGAAAGATCAAGAGACCTGCGACTGGGACTTAGGGGGAACTTTGAAGCAGAAGCCAGGATGGGATAGATGCCCTCTGGAGACAGGCCAGCATTTGCTTTTGATTGCAGCGAACTCTCAGATCTTGTTCATCTGAGCAGCAAACAAGGGGCTCTGGTACCAGCTACCCGAGACTTCACCTTTTGTAGCACCTCTGTGCTCCTCATTCAACAAACGTGTTGAGTACCTGCTGTGAGCAAGAAACTTGCTCTCATGCTTTTCTTCTGTGCATTGAGTAATACCAAGGTGAATAAGACACCTTTAGTGCCCTCAAGGACTTTATATTCTGCTAGAGTAGTGGTTCTCAACCTTCTGGCCCTTTAAATACAGTTCCGCATGTTGTGACCCAACCATAAACTTATTTTCGTTGCTACTTCATAACTGTAATGTTGCTACTGTTCTGAATCGTCATGTAAATATCTGATATGCAGGATGGTCTTAGGCGACCCCTGTGAAAGGGTCGTTCGACCGCCAAAGGGGTCGCGACCCACAGGTTGAGAACCGCTGTGCTAGAGGAATAAGATGGACACAAATAGGCACATTAGGAGGGGGACTGAATGTTACAGCAGAGGTACAAAGTTCCAGGAACAGTTGCTTCTACCTTGGAGGGAACCGAGGCTGCTGTACACAGCAAGTTAGATGGGAGCTGCCCTTTTAGGAATAGTAGGATCTGGACAGGTAGAGGTGAGCAGTGATCTTTCAGATGGAGCACAGTATGAGCAAAGGCAGGGAAGTCTGGGGAATGTTCTAGAAATAGTGAGTTGTACCTCCCTGTCTTCATTGTTTTCATGAAAAAAAAATCTCTTAATTTGATTTCAATTTCCTCCTGGG